TTATATATTAAAGTACACACTATTTTTTTATAATTTGTTCAATCTCCATATCTACAGTTACTAAAATAACATCATGATTTATGCAAACATCCTACTAAATTTGGTTTAATCCGGCATATGCATTGTGCATAAGAAAAATATTAGAAAACATATAATCTCTAAAAAAAAGAATATGGCCCCCTACTTACGAAACAGTACGAATTTATTAAAAAAAATCTCAATATTTTCTGAGTTCTACTTGTGAATAAAATTAGATTCGCTCAAACTGGAACGCCCTATAAAAGTTTACAGATTTCCTAAATACAAATTTCGCATTAAAAAAACATTATTTAATTTGGAGTGTGCTGGGGTTAACGCGAAAAATAAAAACAATCATTGCAGGAATTTGCAAAGAGCGAAAAAAATTAAATTATTATTGGTCACATATTTTCAAGTTGTGTTGATTTTTTTATTAAAATAATTGTTATTCTATTACATTTATTATCAACGGTAAAAATCTTTTCCAATCAAACCAAATCTTATACGAATGAATTTGCTTCTTAAATATTTTACAATTATTTTTTCACAACTGAAACAGCAAAGTTCTTTCAAATAAGTACAAGCCTCGTGATCAAGTCTCACTAATTTTGTTTGTAACAATTCTGCTTCTTCCATGCTGGCAATTAAATTTCGGCAAATTTAAAACAATAAGATCAATATTACATTAAAACATTCTGTTTCACCAACTGTAATTGGTGTAATTTTTAACGACATTCTATTCGACCAATTAGCGATCGCATTATCTCGAGCATAGACGTAACGGTTTGTCATGGTTCACTGTATACGAATCATTAATATTGGTGAGGATGCGACGACAAGAACGGATTTTGGTTACCAGCCCTGTAATATTGGTTGACTAAGCTTGGTGGTCACGTGATTTGTAAACATTTATGAAGCCTCTGTACTGTAGTATATTTTGCATTAAGAGATGAAAGTTTCTTTTTTTTTCGTGATTGAACAAATTGTTCACGAGGAAGCTATTTTTTATAACTAAAGAATTTCTTTTTTAAAAATAAGTAGATTTTCTCATTTAACCCTACATTTGTCCTTAACTTATAATTGTCTCCAAAAAGTCTTTAACAGACAGGCGGCCTGCTGCTTCACTACGGCCCTGATCCACTGCAGTAAAAATAAATCATTGTGAAAGGGTAACCAGCAGTATCATTTAGTGTGAAAAGTCATCATACTTTCTCATAAATAAGCGATTCTTAATTAGCATTCAAACAATGAAAGATGGTTTTCTCGACATTTTGTACTTAGTAGTTCCAGAAATATACCTACTAGATAAGTAGGTAAGCATTAATTAATTATTCAATTAATAAGACGGAAGGAAGTTCATGTCTCCTACACATTTTAGCGTGTCTATAAAAATATATTGAATATAAATATGAAACGGATAATTAAAAAAACACTCTAAGATTTAACATATATGCTAATAGGATATTTATTAATTTTATTTTTTTTTAGCTAAAATCGCCTATAAAAAAATATGTCAAATGCATAATTTAATAATTTTCAAGACACACCTGCAACATAAATACTTTTTCGCCCATTAGGTGGCTTGCCAAGACTTCACGCAAAATATATTCTGAAACATTTTTTATTTATCAAAATTTTATAGGTATCAAAAGAGGTTTAATAAACAGAGTTGGGTATTTAGAATCTTAATTTTATTGCCAAGAAAATTGTTTATGAGTAATCGAACACGTGTTTATGTGGGAAAACGCGCCGGCGTCTTAAAATTGACATTTTTCTGCATTGTTAAAATAAACCTTATAAACAGACATTTCAGATATTATCCAATATATTAATTAAATATCAGAAACAGATAAATGCAAGCATACAGGTGCCTACACGTGTAATATTTAATATTATATCATACATAATCCATTACCTTACCATATACTGAATTTATTGACGTAATAAAAATAATTTTCAGAAATTTTCAAACTTACCTCTAATTGGAAATGGTTTTGTTTGGACAGTTTCGGTGTTTGGAGGCAATAGTCGCTTTGTCTCCGGGGACATCACACTCGGGCATGATTTTACTTCGTTAATTTTGCAGTTGTAACTATTATAAGGGCCGGATCCTATGCAAGTTCTGTTCCGCACTCTCAGCGAACCGCTCAAAACGTCAAGACCACTGCTCATATTTACGTACAACTTACTCTGACAACCGTCGAACAAACACTAATCTTGATTCGTAATCCGGCAAAAATGAAAAACTTATCTGATGCCTGGAATCGAGCGCTCACAGAATTTATTTCTTCGGATGCCGACGAATTGAAGATTGGTATTGGTAGGCCGTTGCTATAAAGCTGTCGTTTGTTCTATGGGAAGGGATCACGGTCGCGGAATACTCAGATACGGCCGGCGCTGTGTCAACCAATCGCGAGGGGTTATATCATCGAATGATCTCTATCTCTATCTAAAAAAAACTTACGTTTTTTAGGTACCAGCGGCAATACTTGCGCTATTTTACCAACATATTTGTATTTGTGCATGACAGAAAATAATAGGACAAAAAACCATCTATGTATATTGTGTTTAGTTTGGCGTCGATAGTAAATAATGTTTACTTTTTTGTTCGTCAGTTTATCAGTTGCCGTTAGACCTCTTTTATGCACGCGTTTTTCTCCTCTCAACGCGATATTGAGAAAAACGCGGCATATTTCTGCTCCAATTTATGCACGCGTATTCTATCAGTTGTCGCCAGTTTCATGCCACACAGTAGTCAGTGAAGTACATGAAAATGGATCCGTGTATATTGTATTTGTGCTATAAAAAAATATGTAATAGAAGACGTAAGAGGCGTTGGGCAGTACATCCAATTAATAGAAATAGAATTCAATTGCGTCCATTGCATCCATGTCCCGCTTGATCAACAGCTAAACTAAAACTAAAACAAACTGTGCTAAAACTATTCTTGACAGACAGAGCCACTGGACTGGCGACAAAGAGCGCTTTGCATAAAAACGGTGATATACTTTCGTGCTTTTTCGAAACGCGTGTCGCCAAACGTTCTGTAAAGCCATCGCGACAGATTTGAAAACGCGAGAGCAAATAAACGAGCGTAAAATGCATAAACGTAGTAACTCTGTTCAGGGTATCTTGAAACGCGGCGTTTTTGTCAACTCCGCGTTGAGAGGAGAAAAACGCGTGCATAAAAGAGGTCTTATGGGCAACATTAAATATTTTTATAGGTGGGAAAAAGTGTAAAAAATACCGAGTTTTGTTTCTGGACAACACGTAGACGATTTTAGCCATTTGAAATTTGAAAATGCCTCGTTTGTTTAAGTAGGTAGTTATTATTTTTGCAAGATTATGAAATGCAACATTTTTATATGTACCTATTGTTTGCAATGAAATGCAGAATAGGTATTTTAGCAAATGTGTAAAACTGGGTAAATTTTGTTATATTTTGAACAAGTTTGCCCGGTTTTCTAAGTTTGATGACATTATATCAGGTAGCTGATTATATATCATAAAAATCTAAAATAATCATTAGATAATAATGTTAATTTTTCTACAGTGCTTAAAATTTAGTTATCACTCGAGTTAAAAACTAACAAATTTCTTGACGTTTTGCAAAGATCGAAAATGATGCATTAAACAAATTAAAAGTTAATATTTTAAGTAGTTCGTGTTTTGTATTTTGCGTTATGGTGTTTTGGAACTGGTGAGGCAAAATTTAAAATAGTATTTATTGGCGGGAAAAAATTGAATATTTTAAACTTTTTGGTGCAATTAATTTTTGTTTGTTTGCAACGAGTTTCAGAAAAATGTGTTAGGTTTGTTTTTTATTTCATATTCTTCCTACGATTTTTGGTGTGTAACTCGATGCAAACAAAATAAAAATGCTCTACTGCCGAACGAAATTTTAAACTGTCAATGTTTAAAATTTTTCATCAATAATGCAGAAAGCAAAATGCAAGAATTTTTATTGGAAACCAGTGGCGGCTTGCGAAAATTAGAGTGTGGGACCTATATTGTTCTTTAGGGGATGATTTCTAGGTCCATATAAAAAACTCCCGCCACAAAAAAAAATTTAACGAAATTTGTGAAATAAAAAATTAAAATAAGGATGTCGGACCCTGTAATCTCGAGAAAAGTACATATATTTGAAATGTATACATATATATTTTTTGATAATCAACAACTGGATATCTTTGTATTTTGCAAAAGTTTAATTTTTTTTACGAAGTTTGAAAAATTGAATGTTAATATTATAGTAATAAGAGAAACAGTTGGTAAATTACAAAAAAGCACGTTGGGCGTTCTTGACTGCTGTTTTTCATTGTAATTTTCAGAGGTCACTAGAAACATAGAAACTTGTAAAAATTATTTTCTTTTTTTGAGTAACTTCGTAAATGCTAGGAGCTATATTAAGGTATTATATAATTTAACATTTTGCATTGAATAGCATTATTAGAATTTTTCTTAACTTTCTGTATTCTTGTTGATAATCCATATTTCCTTTTCACCTTTTTTTACAGATTCAGTTTATCAGTTTGCAGATATATTTAAAAATGTATCGTTATATTTAAGCAAAAACACAATTTTTGCACATTTGGTCGTGGCCAATGTTATAAAATAATAAAAATTTTAATCGCAGCAGTCGATTAAAGTTGTTAATATTTGTATACCTGAAAATTTTTTTCTGTTTCTGATGTTCAAGTTTAGTGATTTGTCAGTTATAAGCAGCAATTTTTTGTAATTTAACTTTGTATCTCTTATCGTTTCCAAGATTCACATGATGAGCATCCTTAAGTGACTCACCCTGTATATAACCCTCATCTTTAAATTTTTTAACTCAGGCTTAACCGATACTCAACATAGTAGGCCCAAATAAAAATGTACTCAATAACTTAACCAAAAAAGTTTATTAACTTAACCAAGTTAAAATAAATATAAAACTAATATTCAATCAGCACTGAAGAAAAAATGAAATACTTGAAAACAATTACAGGTTTATCTTATTTATCACAAAAATATGATCTTATACTATCCTTCATATTAGTTTTGTAAAGCATCCGTTTTAAGTCCAGGTTCGTCTTTTTTCGCCACACCTCCCAATAATTTCTTAATCTCTGCGATGGCCTTTCCCGGATTCAGTCCCTTAAACATACAACAATTATAAAGACAATTTACAAATAAATATTAATACAGGACTAGGTACCTTAGGGCAGGTCTTGGTGCAATTCATAATGGTATGACACCTAAAGGCAGAGAAAGGGTCTCTCATTTTATCGAGACGTTTCGCAGTGGCTTCGTCTCTTGAATCGATAATCCAACGATAGGCCTTCAGAACAAAATGTACATGTAATAATTCAAAAAAGATAATTCTGCTTATACGAGACTAAATTGATAAATTTTTACTACATTTTTACCTGCATAAGAACGGCGGGGCCCAAATATTTGTCCCCATTCCACCAATAGCTCGGGCAAGATGTAGAACAGCAAGCACACAGAATGCATTCATATAATCCATCGAGTTTTTGCCTATCTTCCATACTTTGTAACAACTGATGTACGTCGCCAGATTTCTTTTGACCATCATCACTGAAACGTGTAATGAAGTCTTTATTGTCTAATAATGTCTAACTACACTTACTGCCGTTGCAGCCATGGTTCTATGGACTTATACTGTTTGTAGAAATTATTCATATCAGGAACGAGGTCCTTAACTACATACATATGGGGTAGTGGATAGATTTTTGTTGTTTTTTCAGCCCTGGTATCAATTTTACTGAAACAAATTGTCATTAGTATTATTCTAAGTTAACAAATGCTAAGTTCAAAAAATTGTTTACAAAAATGTTACCTAATACAGGCTAAGGTGTTTATTCCGCCTATATTCATGGCACAAGATCCACAAATTCCTTCACGACATGACCTCCTGAAAGTTAACGTAGGATCTACTTCATTCTTAATTTTAATGAGGGCATCAAGTATCATAGGGCCACAAGCATTAAGGTCTACAGAGTACTCTTGCATGTGAGGTTTTTTATCGGGTTCGTCGGGATTCCAGCGATAAATTGCGAAGGTCTTCAAACGAGAGGCCGGTTGGGCCTCAGCCGCTGCGGCATTGGTAATAGCTGTCATGTGAAAATTGCGCACCTACAATGTTTTCAGAAGAAAGTATTTTTACGATTATGTAATATTTTTTAAAAAATTTCCACTTACATGACCAAATGTTCCTTTGCACAATTTAAATAATTGCATTTCTCTCGCCATTTTGTTTCTTAAATATATCCCTTTAATGTACGAAAAGACCTTATTTATCTATTTTGGCATAAGGTAAAAAATAAAAATACTTGACTGCCGTCAAACGTCAAATGACAAAGATATCAGATCAGAATCATAGAACACAGAATAGCAAAACCTTCTTCTTCTTCTTAATTGATGGCCTACAGGAAAAGGAAACTAAAATTTTTAATGGTTAGTTTTCGTGATGAACTAGTGTGTTTGGTTAAATAATGGTACTAATCAAAATCGAAACGGATAACCAACTAAACTTTATCAAGATTTAGAACCATAGTCAAATAGTTCAATAGAAAAAATAGGGGAAATAATAAACCTTTAATTAAACATATTATCCTTGAATATACAAATCTAGCTTAATAAAACTAATGATATTAATGATGACATAATACCTCGATACTTTTGAAATAGAATGAGCAAAGCACATTTCGTATTTTTTTACGCACCGGGACCTACGCGTATTTAAATTAGAGTGAGTCGAGTGGCAGAATTCTTGAGTACAAAATTTTTGGAAGTATCGCAGACTGATGTGTTTCAATGCAAAATAATAGATGGCACTGCATTTTTCGGTACAGTACTGTGAAATTGTTTAAAAAATGGAGAAATAAAACGAGCTTAGATTTTTCAATATTAACCCAATAAAATTTATTGTTTAACCAAAACAAAAGAACAAAAAAAACGTATGAATGAAAATGCAGTAAGTTAATGTAATATTTTTAATTTCCTTAATTTATAAAAGACAATTTATTGTCTCTATTCTAATTATAATGTATACTATAGTACCACACACTAGGTGAGTACATACATTATTATAGGATTCGAGTTCAGACTTTTCATACAAAATATATTTATAAAAATATAATGAAACCACTCAACAATAATGTCAAGATCCTATTCTAAATATAAATTGTACAAATAAATTGTAATTCATAACATATTGGTCAGTTAAGACCCTGTATATATATTTTTTATATACATAGCTAATAAATAATGTCAAGGGCTAATGAGGTGCTTAAAAGTGATATGATTTAAGGAGTATTTGCTTAACATTTCATACAAAAGTACATATACATTTAAAATTAGGAAACCTTTACAAAAATTAATACATTTTCACATCAATTCGCTTTGGAAGTCTAAGATTTTATTACTGCAATAAAATTTTTATTTAAAAATAACGATCATTTCTAAATATTTAAGTAAGGTGCTAGAAGTGCTGATAACACAAACTAATAGTTAAGATAATGAAAGTCTATTAAATTAATGAAAATGCAAGGTCAAGGAAAATTATAAATTCAATTTCAAATTGTTACAAATAAAATAGGCACAATTAATCTATTTATATGATTTATCTATAATATATATTTCTCATTTATTAAGTTTATATCTACTATAATATATAAATTGGCAGTTATTAAATATCATTTTCTCCTATTCGCTAATAGCAAGATTTTATATTATTATTACACGAAATTACAATATTTTATGCAGCAGACAAGACAAATTATTTGTTCAAAAACACAACACAATGTGGTGGGCCGTATACGGTGACTGAGACATTTATTACATCTTTATCTGTGGAAGATCTATTCTGTTTACAAAGAATACCAAATTTCAAAATTTTTTGTTTTTAAATAAAAAAAAATAGAGAAAATTAAAAAAAGATATTAAAAAAAAGAATTTTTATATAAATTTGATATAAAAAACGATATAAAGGTTCTTAAAAAAAAATTATTCCGTAAGATCTGAGTTATTAAAAAAACACATTACAGCTTCCAAAATGAAGTTGAAATAGAAACTATCCACTCTATGTGCCCACTTACCTCATACAAGGAAGTTTTCGAAAAAGTAAAACTAAACATTTCATGAGCAATTTTTGGTCAAGTAAGATTGTGTCAGATACCCTTCACAACTTGTTTAAATATCCTGCTCTATATGTTCAATGTATGTACAGTTTAATAAAGTAATTCCTTGGTATATATAAAGCGTGAAGAACTTTTTTTACCTATTTGATAGATCACGACTAATGATTGTTTGATGTGACAAATTCAATTATAGGACAGTTATAGTTTAAGGGTATATACAGATATTCTATTAACTACAAACGAATGCAAAAAAGAAACACTTTATTAATACAAATTAAATAAAAAAAAGAATATAACAAAAATTTTAGGAAATAATTTCAGTCTTCCATAAAATAAAATAACAATATAAAATTAGTTGCCTCTTAAAATGAGTATTTCGAAAATAACATAACTAAATTTTTTAAATAAATAAATAAATATTCAAACAGAAAATAAGACAAGGCAGAGCCACACAGAGTTGTCTAGGTTTTAAACGAGAACTTCTTCAGGTGACAGGACAAAAAGTCTGAATATGAACGTAGATCGTAGAGTGTTCCATTCTCAAGATATACCAAAGATAAAAAAAAATATATACACTTGTGCAACTTTTTAATTATCCAATACAGGTATCTTTCTTATGTTAATAGATACAGAAATGGTTAAATGAGTAAAAATGTGCAGAATATTATGCTGATCACGGATTCGTTTTTAAATATAGAAAATTCCTTAAAGTTTTGAAGATATTAAAAAATGTTTTATGTGCATATCATTACTTGGTGGTCCAGTTACTTGGCCGCTGAGAAGTCCTAATTTGACCAATGATGGTCCATGAGGACTTTTTAAGATCAACTATACACAAGGCGATACGACAATGATGAATAATTGAGAATAAATATTTCAAGAGTAATAAACTCGATACCTTCCGACATTACTCAATATGCTACTCAGGGCATTTAAGAATGTTTGCAGAAGTGTATAATAGTATGCACTTCGCACATTTGTGATAAAATTTAAATTTTACCATTCAATTTTGTTTTGCTTTGTCTATGTCGTTTTGTTCGGTGCTCTTGTTATTGTTAGGTAAATAAAGGTAGCTGTGTTAAAAACTATTAAAAATAAGAAATATTAAACTAATTTATAGAAAAAATTTAAATGTTTCACATGGCTACTTGGCCATTACATTCAATTATTCTTGGTTATTTATATATGAAAACCCCATAAATTACACATGGTTATAAAGAGAACTTCCCTTTTCTTCTAATGACACAAAAATTCAATTTTGAGAAATACGTTAATACTGACAGCAAAACTTGACTACTCACATCATTTTAATCAGACTACATATTTTTGGTCCTAAAATTTTGAAAAACAAATGAAATATGCCTGAGAAAAAGAAACAGCATAAAATCGGTTTCCTAGCAATATCTTCAGAACCATTTGGAATTTTCTAAATTTAAAAACATGATCAGCTTAAAAATTTGTACATTTTTGCTCTTTTAATCATCTCTGTATCTCTTAAAATAAGAAAGATACCTGTATTGGACAATTAAAACGTTGTTACCCTGTATTTTCTCAAATATCTCTGAGGATATTTGACTCAGGCTGACGAAACTTGAACCGATGACAAATTTAATTGAAGGTAATAATTTACTAAGTGGTGGCTTGTGACATTGAGAATAGGTGAAGCATATTCAATGATTGACTAAAAAGAACAAAAAAAGCGTCGCAGGTGAAAATTTTCAAACAAGGTCAAACGGTTTTAAATGAATCTGAAAATTTTTAGTTGCATTTGCAATATTACCGAAAAGCTAATGTTCGTGAAGATTTTCATTTAGATTTTATAAAAAATAGAAATATAAGTTCGGGTCGTGGACTTCTGCGAATATTAATGCACACCGTACAATCATATATGTTCCAAATAAGCTTTCTGGTCACGACAGCCTCCTGCGACGTTCTCAAAATTGTTAAATCTCTCCTTATTCCACACGCTCGACTTTACACCCACAATTAAACATGGTATACCAAAAAAATTTTTTTAAATAAACACAACCACTCTGATACTCTGAATACCATTCTATCCGAAACTTCCGAATGTACACATTGTTATTTGATATCCCTTTTTTCCATATCGAGAGAATAAGGTATAGGTCTCTCGCAATTTAAAAAATCCTTTTTGTCCTCCATTTTGTATGGTACGAGGTTGATGTTCGCGCTCAACGAAGGCAATGTTTTTTCAGAAAGCGTTCTATTACTTCTAACCCTTAAGATATTTCAAAAAATGTAATCTCTAATTTCAACACTGTATATCAAGAACGAAGTGTTCTACGAACTACAATCATATGAAATTTTTTGTTTGTAATTTATTTTATCTCAAAGTGAGGTTTCTCAATTAAGACCTGGACCACCCTATATATATAAGTTAAAAAAATGTTGAGATTCATATAAAGTTCATTTGCATCCAATCACTTGCCCCTTATCAACAAGACGGCGACACAGGCGACAAGTGTAAATAACGATTTAATTAACTATCGTGCCTCGCCCCTACAATATCAGTTTTTATCAACAATAATATTTACATTACGTGTTTATCCAATGCTATTCAATACGTTATACTTGTGATGTAAAACTTTCTACGTATATAAAACAGGTTCCTCAAGGAACAAACCTTCCATAAGTTTATAATCAAATTATACCTGTATTGCGTCCACTTTTCTCGGTTGCAATAACGTTTACCCATAACTTTTCCTCAAATAAATTAATTTGCTCTACTTTTATGGAAGAACCACGATTGTATTTCTTGTAAGATGTTCTCTGATGTTGATCATTATAATGTTTATTACAATAAAAAGTAAAACAGCAGGCATATGACCAGAAAATATTTTATAACTTGAATCTAATGGTAAATTCCTTTTCTGTGCCATATACCAGACACTTTTGCTAGTTGCCCACATTGCCTATGACCCAAGGCCATAAGAATGACATAAGGACGCCCGTGAAGATGCCAGTGATTAAGAAAGCCCCGCCGAACATACCCGCTGTTGCAGCGTACCTCTCTTCAACCATTCTGGAAAAAATATTACTGTAGAGACTGGATGCTTCGTGAAATTGGAGACATAAACCTTAAAATTATAAGGAACTTCAAATTGGGTACCGATACCTGAGCCAAATAAGACCCAGAATTTAATAAGGTCTACATTTCAAAAATTCTGCCAAGTTCTGATTAATATTGTAAAATGATCAAGAATTTATTTTTAGAGATTATTAATCGAGCACAAACAACAATAAATGAGTATAAACGCAAAATACAATTGTTATTAAATAAAAAAAGGTGAAACATTTAACATTTTTTTAAATTTATAGACGTTGAATAAGTTCTCCGTCTTCTAACAGATGGCGTTGCCAAAACTGCATGCGTGTAGGATAGTAACGCAACTATAAAAAAATACTATAAGCAAGCTTGAAATTCAGTATGTTATTTTGCCGAAGTGTAAACTACTTTTGTTTGGCATAGAGTTAATCCTCAAAGGTCACACTAGTGCAAATTCGCATCACCGTTTTTTTGTACAGCTGGCATTTCTCAGGTAGCAGCTGCCGAGGGTTCCCCCCACCACTATAATTCCTTCTACAGCCAAAACAGTCGAGCCGTACCACAGCTGGCCTCAGTCTGTTATTGTCGGGCAAACTAGAGAATCTGAAAATTTCGATTGGTGCAAATTCACACTAGTGTGACTTTAGTGTGGGCAATTACATTTTTTATTAACAAATTAATTTTTTTTTCAAAACTACATAATTCCATGTCTCGGAAAATTTTACCCCAGATTTGATATAAATACGTTGTTTTCATTAACAAATTTAAAGAAGACATGAAGGTTCAAAGTTGGCAAAATCCCAATTTGCACCAGTATGACCTTAAGGTAACACACCCCAAGTGTGACCTTTGAGGGTTAAACATGTCAAGTTTCGTGCTGAAAAAAGAGTATTTGTAAGAAATTTTACTGCATTACTTTTAGACCAGGGCGGATCTGTCAATATATCCCACTTCTTGGATATAAGAGGAGGCAAGCTAATTTTTGCTGGAATACCTTCAGTACAACTAACATAATAAAAGTGTAGATCCCTAGGTGTGGGCGAAGTCCGGAACATTTTCAGAATTGCAAAAATTTTTTAAAAATTTAAAAAATACCTTTTTTATATGAGTTTTTTACTTACTTATATCTTGGAACCTATGCATTTTGAAAGAATATTGAACCAGAAAAAAGTTTTAGAATTGAATTCTGCACAATATACTGGAAGTTAAAAATGTTTTAATGTATTACCGATGTTGCAAAATAGGATTAATTGATGAAAAAAAGGCAAAATAATCAACTTTTTTGTATAATTTTTTTTAAATATTTTAATTGCTCCGAGGGCATTCTAATTTTGGTAAAAAAACTTTAGAGTATAATAAAACAACACACCAAATTTCATTANTGCCAATAGTTTATGGATATGAAATTTTTTTCCAGCTTAGAACTCGGAAAAACTAAGCCACTGGATCAAAAATTATTGCTAAATTGTTTATAAATTAACGGCAAATGCCGATAAACTTTGACCGCTATATCTCGAGAACCAATTAGCGGAATTTAACTTTTTTTCTTTAAAAGAAGCGTCTTTCCGAGTACTTTAAAATTATAATTTTTGAAAAAACTAAATTGCAAATTAATAAATGTAATCTAATTGTTTAAAAATTAAAAACAAAGTGTTAACTTTAAAAATTTACTGTGGCCGTCCTAATCAACCGATTTCAATTTTTCAAAACCACTTGAAAGGTTGAGCGGTCTTTTCCATGTGAAAAATTTTCAAGTATCTGGATGCTTTATTTGAGGCTGTGCAACATTTTGAAAATTCGAAAAAAATTTTTCCAAATTTTTTTCAAAAAATTATTTTGCGGAAACTATCGGACCGATTTTAACGAAATTTGGTGTGTTGTTTTATTATACTATAAAGTTTTTTTACCAAAATTAGAATGCCCTCGGAATAATTAAAATATTTTTAAAAAAAATTATTAAAAAAAATTGATTATTTTGCCTTTTTTTCATCAATTCCTATTTTGCAATATCTGTAACAAATTTAAACATTTGTAACTTACAGTATACTGTGCAAAATTCAATTCTAAAACTTTTTTCCTCTTCAATATTCTTCCAAAATACATAGGTTCCAAGATATAAGTAAAAAACTCAGATAACAATAGGTATTTTTTTAAAATTTTTAAACATTTTTGCAATTTTGAAAATGTTCCGGACCTTGCCCAGATCTAGGGATCTACACTTTTAATATGTGAGTTGTACTGAAGGTAATCCAGAAAAAAATTGCTCACACCCACCTCAAAACAGATCCACCCTGGTCTATTTGTTCAAAAGAAATCTGTAGCTATTGGCCTTAATTTGGCTGAGGTACTTTATTTGTTAACACCACGAAAACTGTTATTAAAGAAAACATAGTACCTTGGCGTATACATCATAGCAAGAGAACTGAAATACCCGCTGGTGAAACCCATAGTAATGGCGACTATCCAGTAAACCCAGTCGTTAGTAATTACTACTGGCAAGATTCTCTCGACTCCCTTCACCTGGTAATTACACAGTAAATAGAAAGGGATGTAAAGAGCCCTCAGGGTGACCGGAATCCATAAATATTTTGGACCAGGCTATATTTTGAAATTGGGTTGCATTAGAATTACAACTCTGGCGAGTCCTACGCCATACTTACCCAAATGACACAACTTGGTAGCCAGCTGCCAAGCATAGCAAAAATATTAAAAGTCATAAAACAAGTTATAGCCGAGTAGTGAGCGGGCGAGATGAAAAAATTTTTGTCCAGGGACTCGATGTCTACAAAATAGTGTCAATTGAACATTTCGATTCTCCAAATATATAAGTATAAATACAGGATGTTTTTAAGTGAAGTAGCAAAAATAGTACCAGTGAATGTAGTGCCAATAATAATAGGCGATATACCCTCTTAAAGGAGTTGAAATCCACATTTTAATTTTTTTTTTAACATGGGGTTAGAGACACGAAACTTGGTATGAGCATCCTACTAATAAAGAGACAACTTTCAATATTTTTTCGATCATTGGCGTATTTTATAAAGGAGTGAAACAGTCAACCCCATTTCAATATTTTATTAGAAATTTTGTATATGAAGCAAATTATTTATTTAAAAATATTTATTGGCAAGATTGATTTATTGCGCAACTTTTTTACCTCTTGTAATTTTTCGATAAAACCGAGTTTTCTAGTAAAAAAATTAGATGCGTCATCGTTCACTAAAGTGGTAATTGCGAAAATTTGTAAAAATAAAGTAGGCGAATGTCATAACAAATATATTGTTATTTATCATATTAATAAATTGACACTTTGTCAATAAACTGATAATTTAATAATAACATTAAGAATAATTTGCTATTAATTAATGAAACATGTTTGATAACTTATGACTATGGGATATGTATTAAAGAAAGTTATTTATCTGAAATAAAATTTAATACAAATGAAAAACAAGAAATGCAAAATTAAATCTAAAGAATATTCTCGAAATAATTTCTATTTTGCAGCAAGCATAACCTAATACGTCTGTTGAAATTATAACACACTTGCACAAACAGTTCTTGGTTATTGCGAAGGTCATCTGCTGCCTGGAATATTCTTAAGCATAGTTCTTCTAAAGAGGCAACAGGAGTGGCATAAACAATACTTTTCATGTGTCCCCACAAAAAGAAATCCATAGGCGTTAGGTCAGGTGAACGTGCAGGCCAACAAACAGGGGCATCACGACCACGACCAATCCAGCGATTCGGGTAATTTAAATTTAACCATTCTCTAACAGCAAGTGTACTATGTGCAGGCGCCCCATCGTGCATACACCACATCACCTGACGTGTAGCGAGGGGTACATCCTCAAGTAATGTTGGAAGATTTTCGTTCAAAAATTTAAGATACTCGGCCGCTCCAAGCCTGTGTGGAAGAATAAAAGGACCTACTAGAGTAGTTTAGTTTAGTGTTTATTGACCATGTTAAATTGCATACAATCTTTATGGCAAGTCATATACAAAAACAAAAAATGTATAGATATACACGAAAAAAAATAAATTAATAAAAAACATATCACAATAAATATTACAAGCAATAGAACACAAACGAGAGAGATTATATAAACATCTTAGTCTAAGAAGGAGCGATAAGACCATTACCATAATGTATGCATATCAGAAAATTTTAAAAACTCATTAACTGAGTAGAAACAATGCGTAACAAGAAATGATTTTATTTTCTGTTTAAAATCACGAATATTCAAGGACTTTAAACTAGTTGGCACAATATTATATAAATGAATATCTAAAGAATTTTTCTTTGATTTAGTCAGTCTTTAACGTGGAATCATAAAATTGTCAGCAGATCTCGTCCCATAACTATGACATTGAGAGTGTGTAGAGATGTTTCTGAGAATGAATTTCAAGGAGAGTGGCATATATGTAAAGACATGGTGACGGTAGAATCTTAAGTTTTTTTTAAAAAGCGGTCGACAGTGTTCAGTATAGCTAGAATTAGTCATTAACCGTACAGCTTTCTTTTGCAACTTAAATATTTTATCGGACGTTGTGCTGTTTCCCCAAAGGATTATAGCATAAGTCAAATGAGAGTGAAAAGTGAATAATAACACATCATCAAACAGTCGTCACTCAAAAAGTGCTTCAATCTTCGAATTAAAAACAAGGTACTAGATAGTTTAGTTCCCAGTTTGTCAATATGGGCATTCCACGTAAGGGAATCATCAAGAATCACACCGAGTACCTTTGCAGATTTGCCTTCAGTTATATTCTTATGAGATGAAAATATTAAATTGTGCGTTTTACTGTCATTCAGTTTTAGATTATTAGCTGAAAACCATCTCTGTGCTTTTTCGATCATTTCATTGGATAACAAGGAAAGACCGGCCAAATTATAGGCAGACGTAAAGATGGTAGTATCATCGGCAAATAACGTGCTACGAAAAGGTAATAGGAATGGAAACACATCGTTAACATAAATAATAAAAAGCGGGTCCCAAAACAGAGCCCTGTGGAACTCCGTGACGCATGTATTCTTGGCCTGAATAAGAATTGTTAAAGCAAACAATTTGTCTACGATTACTTAGGTACGACTGAATTAGTTTTAACGGTACACCCTGAATGCCATAGAAAGATAATTTCCGTAGAAGAATAGCGTGCGAAACACATTTCCTACAATTCCCATCCAAACGTTTAAACTGAAATTATGTTGAAATCTTGAAACAAATATTTCATGAGTATTTTCTTCGGACCATGAATGAACATTATGAAGGTTTACTGCACCTACTCTAGGAAAATTTGTTTCATCGGTGAAAAGTATATCCATTAGGAAATTTAAGACATGCCTGGAAATATTAATGTACCATTGACAAAAACCCACGATGGTGAAAAGGGTATAAAAGATTTTCACGAGCTACATTCCACACAAGACTGTGAGAAACTTGCAGTTGCCTGGACACTTGTCTCGTGCTTTTACCGCAGTCTTGTTCTAGATGTTCCAGTATAGCTTCCTCAGTTTCAACAATTCGGACATTACGCCTTCTTCCGGCACCCTCAGGATTGGGCTGAATTTTACGTTTCGCGAAGCCGGTCGGTTTGGATATCTTTGGTGGTATAATCTTACTGCAGTGTTACTATTTTTTCTGGATTCGAAAAACACTTGGAGCATGTTGACATATTCGTCATTGGTATAAATATTATTTGCCATAATTATTCTGATAATAAATTAATCAATTGGTACTAATTATTGGTCGACAGAAAGTGTCAATTTATTAATATGATAAATAACAATTTATTTGTTATGACATTCGCCTACTTTATTTTTACAAATTTTCGCAATTACCCCTTTAATGAACGATGACGCATCTAATTTTTTTACTAGAAAACTATCGGTTTTATTGAAAAATTACAAGGGGTAATAAAGTTGCGCAATAAATCAGTCTTCCCAATAAATATTTTTAAATAAATAATTTGCTTCATACATAAGATTTCTAATAAAATATTGCAATGGGGTCGACTGTTTCACTTCTTTATAAAATACGCCAATCATCGAAAAAATATTGAAAAGTTGTCTCTTTATTAGTAGGATGCTCATACCAAGTTTCGTGTCTCTAGCATTCCCCATGTTAAAGAAAAAAAATTAAAATGTGAATTTCAATCCCCTCCTATAAGAGGTTATATCGCCTCAGGGGTGCAACTTTCATATAAGGTATTTTTACTTCAATCCTCTTATTTTTGGCTCTACATTCACTGGCACCATTTTTGCTGGTTCATTTAAAAACACCCTGTATATGATTACATATTGAAACGAGTTATAAAATAAAATAAAATACAATTTTGCTTACTGGCATGTATGGATGGAAATACAGACAGAGTCACGAAAAATATAAAGAAAACGTTGTACAACTGTGGCATAGCCTTCTTCAGAATATACAAGTAAGGAGGTCGTTCATTTGATACTTTTGTTATCTGCTGCCTCTGTTCGAGCTCCTTCTTCTCCTTTAATTGGAAATGTCTATAAAACCTCTAAAAACGCAAAAATAAAGCAAAATCACTGTACTGGTAACTTACTGATGAGGAAGTAATAAAGTTTGTAGAAAACAAAAAGTACTTACATTGAGTGGTAAGGCGAAATATGTGTCAAAACAAATCAACAGCACAAACAGTGCCATTATGAAGTAATAGATGGCAGCCATTCTCGCATTGGAAGTCACCAGATTAGAAATGATGCTAATAATGGCAATGAAAGTGCCGCAAATGTTATTTCCTAATATTACAGAAGCCGTGTACCTTGACGGCAGCTTGGCAGCCATACCATAAACGGTGTTCTGATATATACCGGTGGCCACTAAAATTGTTAATGTTTAAAACCTACGAATTATCTTCAAAATAGAAAATATTCAAAATATTACTTACTATTCAAAAAAACAACACTTATCATAGTGATATAAAAAAATCCATCTGGCCACGCGCTAGAATCAACCATTGCCAGGATAACTGTTATAATAAAAAGCACAATTTCCACAACTATGCTCCACACAATTCTTTTGTTTATATTCCCTCTGAAATAACGAAAAACGAAATTTGTAAATACACAGGGGTTTTGGAAAAAAATAGACTGAAAGAACATCAAAAAGTAACATTTATTCAATGGACTTGAAGTCTATCGTCTTCTATTTTTGCAATACAGAGCGTCAAATATGATTTCTTTTTATCAAATTTGGTGCAGGTAAGTTTTTGAGGTATACTGTAATATAAGATTTAATTTTACATAAGAAAATATTCATGTTGAAATCGCAGTTTCTGAGAAAAATATAATCAACTGTCCCAAAGACAACCAGTTTCTCCACCATAATATACAGAATGTCTGGAAATGAATGGGCCACACTTTAAGTGAGGAAACCACATAGGAGGCTGATTTTCAGTCGTTTTTCATGATTTTTTTTAAGTGGAATAAAGTGATTAGAATTTGATCAAACTTTGACATTATTTTATGAATATTTTAAACTACATTTACAAATTAAATTTTTCAAGTTTTTGTGTTGGAAATGCCAAAGTTATGGGCTATGCATATCATGGATGTTACCACAAAGCAGTGGCGTACTATTTTATTTAGAAAAATATGCTACCGATACCCTGTATCTCCGCCACTGGAGCATGTAAATTTTAGGAAAACTTTTGGATTTTGGACAATATTTACATAAATAAATGTGCCCAGTTATTTCACTTACTAGTTTTTAAATTATTTAAAAAAATAAAAATATGTTTTGAAGTTTAACACCCTGTATCCTTTTAACGAAGCGTCCTAGATAAAAACTTTATAGGAACGAATCCCCTTAAAATTCATCAAAGAATACGAGGGTTCATTTTTGGTCACCATTTGTGAATCACCCTGTATGTCAGAAGATAATAAATTTTATTTTATGGATCATATAAAAAACTTACCCAATATGTACAAAAATATTAATCCAACTAAAAAGGACATTAGGAACTTGAGAACAAAACGTCAGATACTGCATAAAATTAGACAAATGAGGAAACACGTATCCTAAGTACTCCTGGGAGAATTTATAATTTATAAAATACTAAAAAATAAAAAACAAAAGTTATTATAATACCTGAAAAAATATAAATATACCATGTTCGACAATTTAAAGTATAACTTACTGCATTGGCAGTGATGAACATGTTCCAAGGCAATAAAACACCGATACCATGGATCAGAAACGTTAAATACACTAAATTGTATTTATCGGGAGGAGTGTTGAGCTGTAAACTCGCTTCATCCATGGTCAAACTTTTAAAATTCAATTCGTCCTCTGGCAAGTTATTCTCCTCCCAAGACGGTTGAAGTTTCACGGGTTGTTGTAGGCGTGTTCTTTCATTAACCACTTCTGCAGCTAGAAATTCGAAATCAAATATTGCCGCGTTACACAATGGGTACTTACACTCTATAGGATTAAAGAGAGATATCTGGTGTAGACCGCTTTATATACACAAAAAATACTCTTCTTATATACATACTCTAAATTATTTAATAAAACATATTGGTTTATAAATTTTTGATTAGTAATATAATGAAAATTAAAAATTAAAACAAATGTCATAATGAAAATAAGACAGTTGTCTTTGAAGTGGATTACTAGTTATTAATCACGTCCACTTTTTTACTAAATATATAAATTTTGCTTACCTTGAATAGGCTGTAGAGCAACTCCATTTTTTTCGTTGTATAGGTAATCCCTACTGTAACTCATTTTATAAGATCAATCCTCCTTTTGCCAACTATCAAGCAGTACCTACTATCTCATTTTACTATTCCATTTATCAAATCCTAAACAGAAAACTCTTATAACCATTTGTAGCCACTATCACAAATAACAAAAATACTGAAGAAGAAAAACATTTATATCAGTTTAACTACAGCTGTAAATAGTATTGTTTAGATAATGATTCCTAAGACATAATTTCATTTATCTAAACAATGTAACATTGATAGATCATTAAAAATATTATTTATTTAATAATTTTAAAGTAATTAGAATTAAGGTAAACATTTAATTACCTATAATAGGTAATTATAATATAATAAGTTAGGTTTATCAAAATTATTTGTACTGGTTTAAGGTTTTATCTACATCCCACGAATAATATAACACAAGGCCTTAGCTGGAGAATTTCTAACCACTGTAATTCTTAAAATTGCACAGAATATACATACATGAGACGATGGTATAAATCTATGCAGATATAATGAAAATATCATTCACGAAAATAAATTCTTTTTATCGCTTCATAAAGTATTTTATAATTTTGTATTATATCAGTGTACTTTGGCAAATATATATCGTGGATATTTTCTACTTGTTTTCCTTCTATTTTTAACCAAGTAAATAAGTCATCAATCATTATATTCAAAAGTATATAAGTACGTATATTTATCGTCAGAGAAAGTTTTGCTGTTACTTTTTAAATAGTATTTTTGACAGAGTAAAGAAAATTGATCCATAACTATTTTTAAACTTTAGGATTAGTGATGTAAGGTAATAGAGGAAATGAGGAAAATGAAAATCTGAATTAATACCGAAATAAATATACAGTGAGTTAAATTTTAATATTAGAAAAAGAAAACAGTTCTGTTTCAAATTTTAATTCATGGATATTTTGGGAGATTGCAAACTCACAAAATTAAAAAATATATACATATAATATAATCAATCAACTTTTCTGTAAAAGTGATTATAAAAAAATAAAAAGGCCACACTTATTTTATTTTTTCTGTGGATAGTTAGGTACATTTTATTTTAGGAAAAAATGACTTTTTTAAATAAAATAATATAATAGCAAATATAACTTTAGATATTGCTTATAGTAGTAACTAATTTCCATAGTTAACAATAATTTAAAAAAGCATTTCTTTCAGTGTGCATGTACGTAAAGACAATATAATATTTTATATTTATCATTGAATCACACTTTACGGATATCAGATAGATTTAATTATTTTTTAATAGTTTTTTTTGTCGAGATTATTAATATTACATTCTTAGGAGTATAAACTCAATAAATAAGTATATTTAAAAATCGATAAACACCTAATTTATTTTAAATAACTCCTGAGGCACTAGGACTATTTCAGAAAAAGTTTTTAGCAAAATAAGAAATCAACTAAAATACTATCAGATCACAGCGTTTATAATTTTTTATTTCGCGCCAATAAAGCTAGTCTAACGCCCAAAAGGATATTTACAGTATTATAAACAAACATTTTTCTTATGTTCTTAAAATGGATAAATGTACTCACATTTCAATTACTGATTCTTAGCACACCTCAACAACCAAGATCCAATTAGCCGACAACTTTTAACGCACGTGGCTTGGATAAAATCCACCCAAATAACCAAAACAACTATAAAGCAGCCATATTGGTTGATAATTTTACAAAAATCAAATGAAGGGGGTAAGTCGGGCAGACCCTTGAGTATACAAAAATTACAGAATATCAAGGGGGTTTATTCTTAATGTTGGCCATTGCTAAGTGAGTTTAGGTCGTCGGCGACCAGAGGGCACTACGGTATGGTTGAAATTAGTCACTGTCTCAATTCAGAGACTAGTTGAAATTATTAAATCCCGGAAAGAATAAAAAGACATATGTTCACTTCATACGTATATTTCATACTCTGATTATTTTCCTTTCCTTCCACACATCATAGGGCCAACAACAAGGCCCATCCAAGTACCTAAACAAAATTATTAGCCGAGCTGCGGTGCTATGAATCCTTCCACGCTGTGATAACAGCGTTTTCCATTCCTTTTTCCTTTGTACTAAATGCGCACTGAGAATATGTCCATCATATCGAATAATAAAGGATGGAAATAGGCTCGCGTATTGTGTGGAAAAGTGCAAATGAATGGAAAACGCTTTGTTTTCGTAATACCACAGACCACCTAGACTGGCCGTATCTAATTCCATTGCACGGGTACCAGTGAATGCAAAATCCGGGGAAGTGGAGTGTGGAAGGCAATCTGATTGCGCGCATCATTAAGCAGATCCGGATTAAGTAATATTTTTATTACTAATAAATATTATATTGCATCTTATGACAAATATTCCATTTTAAGTTTGTAATTCAGAAAATAGTATATTTTAGTGTCATATTAAATAAAACTACAAAATAATTTAAAAATATTTATTATCCTCTAAATAATATTAATTTATTTAATATTTGTCTTTTCGTAGATTTTACCGAATTAAATAATTTGACTTCATGATTTATTCGTACATCGATATACTTTTCACATTCAGCCCTTACAAGTTCTATTAAATGATTACAATTGTTAGGTAAATTATCAAATTAATGTTCATGTAAATTTTCAAATATGTTCACATTCAGAAAGTTTTTTAATACATGATAAACAATTTTATTTTTCTGTAGCCTAGGTGTTCTGCTTTCATCATTATTTAAAAATTTTATTAATTTTT